GACATGACGTGTTTGCACTATTTTGAACCTGCAAATTTGCTTATGTTATTGGTTCACCACAGATCACTTGGGGAAAACCCCCAGCCAAATCAAAACCATCAAAATTATTTCGATTAATGCCTGCACTAATGAGGTTTTGATTGGGTAATTTCAATAAATTATATATAAATGAAAAGCTTTTGAATTCGAAAACGTATTGATACATATTTTAGATCAAGTTACACTATACTAAAGACTTAAATGAGACCTTTATTTATAAAACTCTATCAAAACTTTTCGCTCAGAATTAATTCTACTAAAAATTACAAAGATATATGAAGAATGATACGTTAGGCTATTGAAATTAAAGAACATCCCAATTTCAATAGAGAAGGAGACTGGACACTTGCTTGGGATCCTGAATTAATAAAATTAAAACTAAACTAAAACACAATAAGTTTCTTCTGTGTAGATCAGATCAAAGGTAATAATAATTATTAAAGCTGAAGGCACTCCGAATCAATTCTGACATCGAGACGTCAATCACCTCAGTCCCCCGTAACCATGGGTGCATCCGAAACGTCCGGTGTTGAAATCAAGTAAATTAAACGCGATAATATCAGTAAAAGTTTTATTCATCAATCAATAGAACTAAAAAGTAAAAATAAAAATTTTCAGCAAGCTTACATCTCGAGACTGAAAGTTTTACGTCCAAAGAACAAACATTTGAGAGAGATATTTTTATCACATCACTTTTTTTCGTATTTCAAAGGTGACATGTTTTGGCCACCACGTATTATTGTCGTTTTCGTAAAATTTCACACGAGATAAATTTTGTTTTGATACTAAATAAGCCTGCAGTCTGTAACAAGCCTCAAAGTGATGAAAACGTAACTCCAAATGATTTTTGAAACTTCTGCACATTTGTTTCTCGGTTTCTTGAAACTTCAAATCTAAAGTAGAAATTGTTACATTCAAAGTCCTTACATTAGTTTCCTCTCCTAAGTGTTCCTGGCAATGCTCCGGGCGCCGGCGGAAGTCGAGATTGGCATCCCGGGCGACCACCTCGGACGAACAATCCCCGTCATTGTACAACGTTAGTCTGTCTTGTACTGGTAAAGTTATTTTATATTAATACGCCGCGCTATTAACATGCTTGTTTCCGCAAGTATAAACCTAATAAACATATTTTCTTACACATACATATTACAATGTTATTGGAGCCTGGTTTAACTTCAATAATTTGATTTAAAACGGTAATAAAACGAAATGTATTTAATTTACAACATTAAAAACCAAACGTTAAACAGGTGAATACCAGTGTGCTTTTAAATGGGGAAGGGCTAAGTCTTGTTGAATCTACTGCTTTTCTCGTAATTATAGTTGACGCGAAGCTTCAATGAGGCCCTAATATATCTAACTAGCTAGCAACAGTTCTGCAGCATATGCCGTAAAAATAATCAGAGGCGTTACATGTATTGAAACAGCTAGATAAGTTTATTTTAGTTATTTTCATATCGTAATGACATATGGAATCTTGCTGTGGGGTAATGCGACTGATATTGAAACTATATTTGTTTTGCAGAAGCAGTATAAACAACCTGGGTCCGAAGGAAACCCTAAGAAAAAAAATTAAAGAAATAAATATATTAACTTTAGCCTCTCCATATTAGGAATAAGCACAAGTTAGTTACACAAGCTACTCGACTTCGAAGAATCAATAATTTTTTCATGAGGCAATGTATACACACGCTTTTACAACAAAGTCCCAGAAAATATGCAGGCATTATCTATTAAAAACTTTAAAAAATTTATTTAGAAAAATTTGTTTAATAGGGGTAAAGAGGAGTGTATTGATAATTACATGATTGATAATAACTTCTGGGAACGAGGTGATCGCTACCATAATGTTTGTAAATGTTTTCACACTAATCCTATAAAATATTATATTGGAAATTATGCTTTAAAAAAAGTCCCGCTGGGATTCTTGCTGGTTTCTCAGGACAGAGGTTTTTTGCGAACCAGTGGTGAAGCTTAAATTAAATTCTATAAATATTGTTACGAGCTTAGGGTTCGTGACAATAAAAATTGCCGATAGAATTACCTAAATTAACACTTTAATTTTCTTTACACCAATTAAAACTTAAAACACTAATAATTAATCACACTGATTCACTTTATTTCGCTCCGAAGCTTCGCTAGTCTCGCCAAACTCAATACTTCCCCGATCGCATCGCTATAAATACACATTATCACCGAAACATCCAGAATATTCAAGTAAATACGCGCACCAATTGACAAGGCAACGAAAGTTCGAGTGTCGGCTTCTAGAAGCTTAGTTCTTCGTTTCGATACTAGATGGCGCTAGTGCCGGGTACATGACGTCAACTTAGGCGCGTAACAATATTCTTGTAATATACATTGAATAAAATGATTCTACTTTATACTCTTCTATTCTATTTCATCTTCTGTGCTCAACCTGAAAGTGGACTGAAAAAGAAAGCCTTTTAGCTATAAATCCTATTTTGTACATTATTAGAGTAAATGAAGTGTACTTTTGTTATACTCTTGATATAGCATTTTTCGCTTCATCATATTTTAAAAATTGCCTTTTAAGTCAAAAAAATCAATGAAGTATCATCAGCAAATAAAACTATATCATTGTTATCCCTACCAAATAAGGTAAGTCATTAATACAAACTAAGAACAGGAAGGGGCCAAGAATTGAGCCCTGAGGAACACCCATAGATACTACCGATCTGAAAGGACTTCTCTCAATAATAAAAACTGTTTGCGTTCTATTATTTAGATGAAGGATGTAGTAAGTTTAATCGCTATGTTTTTTTCACCATAATGATGTAGCTTCCAGTTTAATGTCTTATGGTGAACACAGTCGAAAGCCTTGAAAATATCACAAAATTTACTTTGGGCCTCCTCTGAATTCTCCCGTGCACAGAAAACACTGACGTCATTTGTCCAGCGACCCCTTGTAAAATCAAACTGATTTTTATGAATTAATTTATTTATGTTAAGAAAAACCTAACATTATATCGATTATAATTTTTTCAAATATTTTACTGAGAGCTAACTCTCCATTACAGAAACATATCAAAATTAATGGGGTCCAATGTACTACCAGATTTAAATAAAAGTAGAACTTTACTATGTTTTATGTAATCAGGAAACACACCAGATTCGATACTAGTATTAAAAAGTAGATAGTAAGTTGGGGTGCGATTTCATCTATTATAGATTTAGTCTAACTTTAAAGGAAATAACCCATAAATCTATCGGCTGTTTATAAATACATATATATGAAGATAAAAGCATACATACATGTATCCATTAATTTTCTTTGACATTTTCCAAGTTTCAAATGAACCCATGGTGTATTCTTTTTTGACGATGTTTAAGAGTACAAAGTAGAAACGGTTTGCCGTAATCGTCACGCTTGGTAAGTGGATTGAAGATCGCTGCACCAGACGTTGAGCACCTTTGACACTGAACACCATCAGCATCATCATCTGTTGGAAGCCCTAAAAATTCTGGTGTTTCCCATTATCATCTCTTACGACACCCACGAGATGATATGAGTAATAAGCCCAAGTTATAGACGGCGGTAGTCTTGCATACTCCATGGTAACAAAACAAATATTTACTGGGTCCAACGTTACGGGGTCCAACTACGTGTGATGTAGAAGAATAGTAAAAATCAACATAACCATAACCAGATCATGTAACATATAAAATAAAATGCATGCTATATAAGCTAACAACCCTTTGCTAAAATGTCTTTAATTGGCGCCCAATAGTTAGTATAGTTGGAAAATGATTTTTTTCTGATTTCACATTCCACCTACACAGGATTTTAAATATAATCTGTAGTTTACTTTTTCTATTGTTTTACTTTGCTTGATTTTGCTGTGGCAATTCCGAGTAAAACACGTAACGTTGAAATACCCCAATAGTCGTCTGTGAAGCGATTATACTTAACAATAACTCTTGAAGAATAGACATGTATGTGTACCCAGAAAGTAAATAACACAACGTAAATTATCTCATTCAACAGTAGCTAGATAAAACTTTAGCGACCACGGTGCGTGACGACAGCGTACACGTTTCAACAACCTTGAGCGTGGCTTGCATCGGAGCCGAGCAGCGACGCGACTACACGGCTAGCATTCTCTGTGACGCCCTCACTACGCTATTATTAAACGAGTTCATTGGAACATCTATTTGCGTAATTTGTAACAACGCGCCTAAAACATCCCGATAACCTCAACTGTCTCCACACCGTGTCACATTGTAAAAAGTACTGTAATTGATATTATTCAGAGTACATAAATGTTCTGACTGTCATACCAACTATTCATGTAACTTTCATGTTCAAGAAGAAAGTTAAGTCATAGCTTTCATATGAAATTCGTTTCAAACCCTTTTCTAATTGACCGTGTCGTTTCAAGAAATGTTTAACATGCATACATAAACGGATTTTGTCTAGGTGCAAAACCGGGAGAGTGTGTGTGTCGCGCATGCGCTCTCGGTCTTTCTACACGTTGTCCATTCACTGCGCAACTAATCCGTCCACTGAGACCCCTCAGCAATCTTATTTTGGTAAATATTCAGATAAGCAGATCGGTTCGCGTCGCTTCGACGGACTCAAGATTTTAAAGTCAAATTGGAAATGAAAATTTAAAATATCTATCTGGACATCCGATGAAGAGCTGAACGTCGGGCGTGAGGTAGCGCGGTGAAGTGCGGGGCGCGGCGCACCGGCGCGAGTGTGCGCGAGTGTGCGCCAGTGCGCGTGTAGTGGTGAAGCGAAGCTCGTCGCGGCGCGCCCCGTCAGTCGGCGGCGGCGAGTCACGCGCGTCGTCTCGTACAGCTCTCTCTGCAGCGTCGTTGCACTCCCACCCACACAACTACCACTGTTCAGACTTCGACGGCTCTCACGCTCTCGAGCGTGGAGGTCGCGTCGGCCTCGCGTTGCGTTTTCGGTCCTCGGTGGTTTCACTTCACGCTCATAAATTAATGCCCGCGTCGCTCACTGCAGCGGCCACCGCGACTTTCCGAAGCGCGTCCGTGAGTCCGTGCTGGTGCGTGCCGTGACTCCGGCGGTTCGGTCGCGCCGCCGCGTGCTGTGACAGTGAAATCGTGAGTTTTCCCGATAGTTGCGGATGTGCAGTGATGGATGAATAAGACAGTGTGCACGTTTGAACCGTCAACTCATCTATAATTTCTGGCAGAGTGCGAGAGCGGGTCGTCAAAATTGAGCCCAAACTGTATTTAGGTTGGTATCGTTCTGTGATCAGTGGTGACCGTAGAAAAGCCAGTGAGAGCATTGGTTGGCGAGGCGTTCTTTGAATATTTATAGCATACCTACTAGTTGGAAAGTGTTTGTTGGACAAGTAGGCGAGTGCGATCCGATCCGCATGCCCGCACGCCGCATCGCGCACTTTTGGCGCCGACATGCAAGCAGCACATAGCTGATCTGTTGTGCTACCAATAAACAATTATTATAATTAATCAATTATTGTTATCATTTGAATTGTGTATCAGTTCTATTACCGACAAAGCTATTAAGAACTAACTCTTTCGCGTCTGTTCTTAAAATTATTTTATTACCATTGTGACAGTTATGTATAATATTAATGTCGCTGTCAAACTGTGCCCGAACAGCCGCGCTAGATTACAGCTCAGACTGTTTAAACCTATCAAAAATTTACGAAACGATTATCTCGTATTCCCCCGTTTTCTCCTTCAAACAGGACTGATTTCAATTTTATACCTGTAGATTTTTCTTTTACTTATTTTTATGTTTGTTAAATTTATTTACTGGATGTCTAACGACGGCGGCTCAACTTTTTACTACCTAATTTTTAAAATAATTAATTTCTGGCAACACTAAGACGTTGACAGTTACATCACCTATCACATTGCCCCAAATAAATTGATGAAATGTAGATAGAATAAAACTAAAATTAATGAAAAAAAAAAACATTGAAAATACCAATGGTAGGTGTAGATTGTATAGTAAAAATATTTACAGGGAGAACACAAAGAAATACGTTTGTATAAACTAGGTTCAGGTTGTGGTAGCGGTGTAAGAATATCCTACCACATATAGTCCCGTGGGTGTAAAATGCGGCAGAGGGATATTGAAACAGATGGGCAGCAGCATCTTACTGATAACAACAAGCTAAGCGTGGCAGTTACGGCAAAATCACCCCTATAGGGCAATCTATAGGGGAGGCCTATGTTCAGCAGTAGTCTAGGTAAATTACAAACGAGTACATACTCCACCTGATAGTAAGTGGATAATGTGTTAGACTCTACACGCAGATAAAAATAAAAATGCAGATGCCTTGTCAAACCTAGACGACTAAGATAGATTCGTTTCTTCACCTCATTACTGGTAACGATGCATTCGTTACCAGTAATGAGGTTCTTCGGAAGTATATAGTTAGATACGAAACACAGCATTATTTCATGCTGGTACTTTGTGAGCAAAGTGACACTTTCACGACACTATATTATTTTGAATACTTAATGGTCACTATAATGCGTTAATTTTATCATCAGTACAAAGACAAAGACCACTGTTGAACACCTCTCCATAGATTACCTCATTAGGGGATATTTGCCTTAGTTGTAATGCTTCTCAGACCATTTCGCAGCCGCAGTTTTTTATTATTTTGAGTTGTTTTGGTGCAGGTTTCCAACAGTATTGCCTCAATTTCCCTCCGTCGCTTCTTACGACACTTTATGGAGAAGTAGATATTTATACACCGTCAATACACGGTCATTGTTTGTTAGTTTAAAATAAATTATATTTTGTCATTCATTATTTAACATTCGAGCAGAAAATCTCTATACTGAAAAGAACGAGTGGGATAAATTCTCAAATATGAAAACTAAAAAAAAATTATTCATGTGAATTATTATATAAGGTAGCGTTAACCTCATTTTCAGGTTTATTTTTATTCATGTATTTATTAATATTATAATAACCCCCTTTAAAAAAAGCAATAAAAACTATAAAAATTGTTGATTGACAAGTTCCTACATGGTAGAGCCGCGATGCATCTATATTATGGTTACTACAACCATAATATAACTGCACGAATGGGTCGGCTCGACCGGGGTAGGACTACGCTCTCACAGAATGCTGCTGTGTTTCGTATGGTTAGTGTAGAGAACCAGAGACCCTTTTTTACTGGGCCACTAATCCTCACCGGTGACAACGCATCTGCATTTTGATTCTTAATCGAGGATAAATGTAGATGTCTATGAGCTACAGCATCGACTTACCAGCCGGTGGACTGTATGCTTCTACCCTTAGGTATAGAATTACAACTGTTTTTATAGAAAAAACAGTTGTAAAAGTGTACATACATAGCCCCCATAAATGAATTTCTAATTGTATTCAGTCGAGTAACTGGCATTACAAGCTTGTGTTTGTTCCAAGTATTTAAAATATCAATATCTCTTGTCTTATAAAAGTTACTTATGTTTTATGTACATAGCGCTCATTATTATGAATGTGTTATAATTATTTCTGAAAGACTACATTTTTGTTAAAAATTGCCATTACTTACGCCTCAGAAACAAATATATCTCTAATGTCAGCCACATTTCCATTATACTGAAGTTCCATTAGAAATTATGCAATGAAAATAATTAAAATACATTAATCTAGCTCATTCCGAACTAATCACCTACATTACTTTTCTTTCATAAAATTACTTTCGATTTCAAATGTGTGACAGTTTTCTCTTATTGAATGTGTTACACTTGTCTGTCTAAAACTGTATAGATTTCATTACTTTCTCGATTATAATTCTTTTATCGATTACAAAAACGCTGTAGGTACAGAGCTTTGATTAAACGGTTATTATTGTAATGTAATATTTTCTATTTTGGGAATGTAACAAGTACCACGTCAACTGCATTCAAAACCCGCTTTAACGCGGTACATTCTGTTGATTGAAGGAGCAGGCTTTGATGATTGAGTAATAGCGGAAAATCCATGCGATAATACTGAGCTAAAGCCCACGGACTGGTAATGGGCAACAGGGCTTTCAGTTCGAAAGTTCAGCACTCTTTAACCCACCTGCTCAATGTCATGTATAAGCAAATCTTCAATAGAATGCACACCAGACGGTTCACTCCTTGGAAATGCTATAAAGCTTTTCAGCATTGACCTTCTATTAGCTAATTAAAATAAATTCATTTCAGTTTGCTTTCAAATCCAACGGTAATACGATAAAAATGTTACGGAAGTCAAAGAAACAATACTTTGAATTATTTGATTTCAATCTAAATAAACACGTAGAGCGCCGTGATATATATATATATATATATATATATATATATATATATATATATATATATATATTCCTATGGGGACCAGGATCCTCTAAGGATCTTCATGATAACATTTTAGAATAATTAAAACTGTGGCAGCTAACCACCATGCCACGCGTGGCAACAATAGCAGTCTCGCCTATGAAGCAGTCTATGATGGAGACCCATGTTCAGCGGTGGACTATTGATAGACTGTAATCTAAAAAAAATCTGTCGAAAATCTAAATCATCTTTCTTTTTTGTAATATCATCGATTTAAATGATTTCTTTTATAATTTATGTGATATGACTGAAGGTGGCAATGTAAAGCGTGATTACAAAGCGAGAACACTAAAGGATAGGGCAAGCGCAACGAGGGGTATTTAAGCCAATAAATTAGTGTTATTGCCTGCAATTGGTACCACGCAGTCAATTTGCTGATTTGCCTTCGACTCGGACCTAACTGGAGGATTTATTCATAATGCGACCACGAAATGTATCGCCATTTATATTTCTGATTCCTTTATAAATTAAAAAAAATTTAATAACTTATCATATGTATATTTAAATGACAGTTTTCAATTTTGAATTCTAAACTGAATATCTGGTACAAAGATAACGGTACACTGGTAGGTGAGGATATGACGTCCGCAAAGATGGTTTTATTTATATATATTTAATTACTGTCCCATTTCAGTTCTAAAATTATATAGTTCTATAGTTATATAACTAATAATTAAAATTATACATTCTCTCTTCTTGTACATAATTTTACAATATTACTTCCCTCGAGTCCAATCCGAAAATGTTTGGATAGTTTTTTATTCTTAAAATAACTATAGAAAAAATTCTAAATTTTATCGTTAAATTCAAGAGTTGAAGGACTCTTGTCTCGATTCGTTTACGAGGGGCATTCAAAAAATTGAGAATTCGCACAAGATATTTCCAATTAAAAAATTAAATACTGGCTGGTAAAGCGCGAATGTCTGTACCTACTTAAAGAAAGAAATCTTTTATTTAAAAAAGAAGTAATTTGTTTGCGGTTTGTTGAAATGATGATGTTGAAAAATGAAAAAATTTACTGCGCCCTGTTTACTGTACTTGAAATATTTCACTACGAAACAAGTCAATCAAGATTTAAGAGAAACATAAGATAGAGTTAAATGTTTCGCCGTGTTATGCAGTTGCACGATGGTGCGTGGAATTTAAACTTGGAAGAACGTTCAGTCCACCAAAGAACAATTGTTTTATAAAATTCGACATGAAGATCTAAAACTCGTACCTTTTATTGCTGAAGAAACAATAGTGGTAGACGGTAGTGTGCATAACATTTGAACGCTTGGGGACGAAAAAATTCTGCCTGATTGTTTTTGGCGCGTTTTACAACATTGAACTAAACATGGTTTCAGCATTAGGTACACACCTGAAATAAAAATAGTCTATGGCTTAGAAAATATTATCATCTCAAACTCATAAGAAATTCAAGGCGAGTCCTTACTAGGATAGTTAGTACAGAGTAATGATTGAATATCTCGATCATATAGTTACTATTACTGGCACTTTGTACCTATACATAATAATTTAAAAAAAATGCGTGACAATATTTGCGAAAAGCGGCGAGGCATTCTTGCCAAGATTGTTTCGTTTCACCAAGATAACGCCCCGCTTCACATGACCGCCGTTGCGGTGACTGCAATTAGAGATGCTGTCTATGAAAGACTTGAGTATCTTCCATATTCACTAGACATTGCACATAATATTTTTTATCTGTATCCATAATTAAAGGAGTTTTTTTAGAAAGGGAAGTTCTTTACACTTTTATAAATTTTAAGCTTAGTAGAAGATACTTCATCTATTGTATCACAATAAAATAAACAACTTTTCTAAAAAAAATAAAAACATCATTCAGTAAAAGTTACCTATAACTTACTCTATATGTACGTGGTCCGTACCGTTTTGAAATAGAACATCTCAATCTACATAACTACTACGTTGAGAAAAAAAAATTATTGACGTTTTTAATTTATTAATTTTACATAAATTTTTACTCGTTGTGAAATTAAAATATTTTATTATATTTTTATATTTAATGACTACTGACAAAAACGAAAATAATCAGATACAC